AATGAAGAAGATACTTCAATGAATAGTACAGTAAAATCTCTTGGTTTTAATAAACTTTACTCCAGCTGCCCTGATTTAACCAGAGTTCTCCAACCTTTCTGGATTGGTGGCCTGGGGAGAGCAGAGGGGGGGCTTTATGCACACATGCGCATGTGCGAACGGGGCTGCGAGCATGCACAGGCGATGCAAAGGGCCGGTGACAATAGCACTCATGCAGGACTCCTGGCTATGGTAGTCCCTGTGTGGGGCTTGCAGCGATGGTAGTCCCTGCATGGTGACAGTAGTGCTCACATTGGGCCCATGCAGTTGGGGACCACTGATTTAATCTTTTTAGATACTTTTGCCCTGGATGTCTTCACTTACATCACAGAATAAAACAAGACAAGAACAATCATTTTCAGAAATTTTAATGTTTACAATTCAGATATGAAAATAAAGATTTCAGTGGATGTCTTTTTTGTATTTTTCTGTAAAAAGAAACAGAAATTTAAGATTACATAATATTCCATGATTTTTTTGGGGGGGGGGGGAGACAAGGACTATTTTCAGAAAGATGGTTCTTAGCACTTACAAAATCAACACTTTCCTATTGAAAGTCAGGAATTGAGAGTTCTTCCCTTTTAGTGTGTCTTTCTCCCCATTTTTATGTACATCTTGCTTTAGAGAAGAAAAAGGTTGCCTATTTTATTCCTTCTTTCATTTATGATCAGATTGAACCTGTTATTTTTTTTAAAAGCAAATTGCTTTCCTCAATTTTTCTATCCTGTATGTTTTAATATTTTAACTCATCACAATCAAGAGATTCTTGGGGTTACCATCTCAACAATAAAATAAACACATTACGAAGAATTTTATCTGATTTAAATTGGCTAAAGTAACAAAACAATCAATTAATGGAATAAAAATAACTATCTTTCTTTTATGGTCTCTTAAAATTACTTTTGCTGAGGTATTTTCTTTTCTGTCTTTTTAAATATTCCAGCATTAATTGCACTAACTACAATTTCTTTCACTCGCTTGCTTTTTTTCTTAAGGCTGATCCACACAACCAGTGTGTGCTAGCATAAGTATCTCTCTGTAACTAGTGCACTGGAAGACAATAAATAGTCTTTCTGATTTGGGTGGGCTTGGTTCACTGTTCAGTCAATGCTGCACAGTTCTCTTGATGCATTTCATTGTAGGGAAATGCCTCCATTCCAAATGTTTGGTGTACTGCAGCAGGAGTGCCACCACTCCTTTGGTCACTTGTTGTTGCCTTCATGGACTTTTCACCGAGGGGTGCTGTTCTGGGATTGGCTGGACTTTCTTATTTTAACAGATTCACCAATGGACCAGTGAAAGGCTATGTTTTTCACCAGTGCATTTTTATTTAGTAAACCACATAAAGTAGACAGGAATGCCAGATTTCTGATTTGCCAGTGAAAGGAATAATAGTAAAACTCTGGCATTTTCTATCTTTTCCTTTGCTGTTTGCTTTCATGGTATGGATGGTATGAGTAAAGAAGAAGGGGAATTTTTCAATCTTTGCAGTCCAAACAAAACTCCAGGCTATCACAATGGCCAGAGTTCAGTTACAGGTAGAAACCCGGCAAGGAATTTATTTTCACCAGGTTTATGCCCTGGAGACAAACAGCTTGAAGCTGCAGAATGGAACCATGCTTCCCTGCACTGATCAGAATTATGTAACATGTTATGTACAGATAGTCTTCAACATATGACCATAATTAAGCCCAAAATTTCTGTTGCTAAACAATACAGTTATTACATTAATTAAATAAATTAAATGAATTTCCCCCCATTTTACAAATTTTCTTGCCACAGTTGTTAAATGAATCACTGCTGTTAAGTTAATAACACAATTATTAATGAATCTGGCTTCCCCTTTGACTTTGATTGTCAGAAAGTCTCAAAAGGGGATCATATGGCCTGGGACATTGCAACCATCATAAATATGAGTCAATTGGCAAGACTCTGAATTTTGATTAAATGATCATGGGAATGCTGTAGTGACGTAAGTGTGAAAAGTCGTCTTAAATCCCCTTTTTTCAGTGCTGTTGTAAATTTGAATGGTCACTAAATGAACTGTTGTAAATTGAGGACTATAATTAAAAATATAAGGTTTAAAAAGGAAGAGACTATAGAACTGTGGGAAATGAATTTTGTAATATTTAAAACAATTTTGTTTTTTAAAAGCAAATATATATTGATCAACAACTTGAAACTATATTAAAGAAGAAAAAGGGAAGAGGAATTTTACTGTTCCTCCACCTATGATTATACCCAGTGGTGGGATTCAAATAATTTAACAATTGGTTTGCAATGGTCAACCTGACCCTTGATTACCCCGCATCAAAGTTAAATTACACCCCCACCCCCTGCTATCAAAGTGGATACTGGATGCTGCACTAAGCTGCAATGGAGAAACTGGCAAAGTAGCGGCCAGCATGAGAGGAGGAGGAGGAGCAGGGAGAAGAAAGAGGGAAAGCGGCCTTCTCCTTCCCTCGTTCCCAGGATTCACTTTGATAATGGGGGTGGGTGGGTAATTTAGTTTACTTGAACCTGTATGAACTGGCTGAATCCCACCACTGACTATATCCCATCTATAGGTATTGGCCAGGGGTCTGCAACCTTAAACACTCAAGCAGCCATTTGGACCTGTTTCCCACAGAAAAGAAAACATCGGGAACCAATAATCTAACATCTGGTGTGACTGGGTAGGCATGGTCAACTCAACATCACTCACTCCCACCCAGTCACATGACCCCCTGGATAGTACATTAGTAAAGAGAACCGGTTGTCCCACCCAGCCCGCCTCACCTCTCCCCTCCCACCCACCTTTTGCCACACCTGGCCTCAGGTGTGGTGTTCACCTCTCTCTCTCTCTCTCTGTGTGCGCGTCTCTCTCTTTGTATCTCTGTCTCTCTGATTCTGATTCTCCGGCACTTCATCTCTAACTGGGTCTTGCTGCCTGACGGACTGCAGCAGGAAATGGTGGGCAGCTATTTCCAACCCTTGTTGGTGCTGGATGCACCCCAGTCATAAAAGAGCCACATGCAGCTCCAGAGCTGCGAGTTGCTGACGCCTGGTATAGGCAAAACAGGATGAGGCTACCCCCAAAATTCTGAAAATCTGGTAATGGCTAGATTCTAATCATATCTGCTTGCAGCTGTTATCAGGAGAGCAATGATGCCTGTAAAACACATCACAAAATAAATGCTGAGTGTGTAGTAGAACCACCCTGGAATACTGCAAACCTTCAAGGTCCCTGGATGGAAAGACTACAGGTGAAACTCGAAAAATTAGAATATCGTGCAAAAGTTCATTTATTTCAGTAATGCAACTTAAAAGGTGAAACTAATATGTGAGATAGACTCATTACATCCAAAGCAACAGAGTTCAAGCCATGATGTGTCATAATTGAGATGATTATGGCTTCCAGCTCATGAAAACCCCAAATCCACAATGTCAGAAAATTAGACTATTGTGAAAAAGTTCAATATTCTAGGCTCAAAGTGTCCCACTCTAATCAGCTAATTAAGCCATAACACCTGCAAAGGGTTTCTGAGCCTTTAAATGGTCTCTCAGTCAGGTTCAGTAGGAATCACAATCATGGGAAAGACTGCTGACCTGATGATTGTGCAGACAACAATCATTGACACCCTCCATAAGGAGGGAAAGCCTCAAAAGGTAATTCTAAATGAAGTTGGGTGTTCCCAAAGTGATGTATCAAAGCACATTAATAGAAAGTTACATGGAAGGGAAAAGTGTGGAAGAAAAAGGTGCACAAGCAACAGGGATGACCGCAGCCTGGAGAGGATTGTCAGGAAAAGGCCATTCAAAAGTGTTGGGGACTTTCACAAGGAGTGGACTGAGGCTGGAGTCAGTGCATCAAAAGCCACCACACACAGATGGATCCTGGACATGGGCTTCAAATATCGTATTCCTCTTGTCAAGCCACTCCTGAACAAACAACATCAGAAGCGTCTTACCTGGGCTAAAGAAAAACAGACCTGGTCTGTTACTCAGTGGTCCAAAGTCCTCTTTTCTGATGAGGGCAACTTTTGCATCTCATTTGGAAACCAAGGACCCACAATCTGGAGGAAGAATGGAGAGGTACACACTGCAGTGTGAAGTTTCCAGAGTCTGTGTTGATTTGGGGAGCCATGTCATCTGCTGGTGTTGGTCCACTGTGCTTCATTAAGTCCAGTGTCAACACAGGCGTCTACCAGGAGATTTTGTAGCACTTCATGCTTCCTTCCGCAGACGAGTTTTATGGGGATGCTGACTTCATTTTCCAGCAGGACTTGGCACCTGCCCACACTGCCAAAAGCACCAAAACCTGGTTCAATGACCGTGGGATTACTGTGCTTGATTGACCAGCAAACTTGCCTGACCTGAACTCCATAGAGAATCTATGGGACATTGCCAAGAGAAAGATGAAGGAGATGAGACTGGACAATGCAGAAGAGCTGAAGGCTGCTATTGAAGCATCCTGGTCTTCCATAACACCTCAGCAGTGCCACAGGCTGATAGCTTCCATGACACGCTGCATTGAGGCAGTAATTACTGCAAAAAGGGCCCAAACCAAGTTCTGAGTACATATGCATGCTTATACTTGTCAGAGGTTCGATATTGTTCTATGTACAATCCTTGTTTTATTGATTGCATGTAATATTCTAATTTTCTGAGATTGTGGATTTGGGGTTTTCATGAGCTGTAAGTGATCATCATCACAATTATGACAAATCATGGCTTGAACTATCTTGCTTTGCATGTAATGAGTCTATCTCATATATTAGTTTCACCTTTTAAGTTGCATTACGGAAATAAATGAACTTTTGCACGATATTCTAATTTTTCGAGTTCCACCTGTATATGGCTGGAATTACAAAATGGCTATATTTCAGTTTGATGTCTCCAAACCTTTTGTCAAAGGAGTGCAGTCACAGCAGGAGTTACAACAGACTATAAATTGGAGTTTAATCTGGGAAAGAAGTCAATTAGAAAATCAATAATAGACAAAAAATGCAAGGAGCATTATATTCAACAACAGTATTGTCATCTGAATAATAAAAAAAGGATAAAGGGTAAGGTCTTTATGTCATTTCTCAAACAAAAAAAGCACCCAAGGTTATTTACAAGAGAAGTAATGCAACCATAAAATTTACATAAATCATATCATTTACAAGAACATATTTTTTCTAAAAGCAGAAGACACTTCCCCTCATATTACATGGTGCAAAAATGTACTCAAATTGAGGGGGAGCTGCAAGTTTTAATCAGCCAGTCCTCAAAACCAGTAGTTGCTATAACATAGTGGAGAGAATCAGGAACCTTCACTTAGATTGTCTTTGTGGAAACAACTGTTACTTTTTCCTTTTAGTAATGATTTAGCAGATTTCTATATACAATCATAATAACATGGCATGATTTAATAAGGAATTTAGGAATATTAGAACAAATGTATCATGCAGTATCATTATCTTCATCATCTTTGTATTTTAATATCCATAGAATATGTGAATATCCACATCATTTCATGTATAAGTAGCAAAACCATCACAGGTACAATCAAAAATATGGACTTGGATGTGATCTGCTTACCCACACGAGGCACACACATTTTTCAATACTAGTAGTTGACTTATGTTTTCAACTGAGCAACAATCTAATCATGCTCCCTTGTCCTTTCTCCAGCTTTATCTCATGTTAAGTAGAGTAACTGAAGGATGTTCCTCCACCAACTAGTGACTTTTAGTGAGAGGGGACAGCAAAGAATACCTGTCTTTTATATGTCAGATACATTATAAATAAGAACAGCATCTGTGACAGGATAGAAATCACCAGTATATCACTAGCAATGTTTCTGCTAGCGTAGTTTTTAACCAATTCAATGACTGGTGAATAGCACTAGTTCAGCCCAGAGAAAGAATCTTAAGGATGCCAGCTGCTAATCTTGGCCCTCAGCCCAATGTTGGATGGAAACAAGATTAAAATATGTAGAAAAGATGGTGAAAACCTTGGCACAGTTCTTTGGACTAAAAAAAGAGGAGAATGGAGAGCAATTAGGGATACGTTTACCTGGATAATAATAATCATAAACTTTAATTATTGCAGGCTTAAGATTTCTTATTTCATGTTCTTGTACCACATCAAAATTGTAGTTTTGACTTGCATTATCCAGCTGAAGAAAGACAAAGGTAGAGAAAAGTTTTGTTCTGAAGTCAAGTCTTGTGTCCACAGAAAGTGGTCTTAATATTAATATTAATTCCATGTTTTTATTTTCCCAGAAAATGAATTATCTGGAATGAATTTCCACATCACCTTGACCCCCTTTAAACCCAGTTTCATATCAAATTGACAAGGATATTAAGAGGTCTTACCTGATCGAGATACATAGTGATTTTGTCTAGATCAAATTCAACTTTCTTTACATGGCCTTTGCCTTCCAGCTATTAGGATATAGAACAGTAAAGCAATAGTATGACTGATCATATGACCCATGTACTAATACATTACATATTAGACCTATGCAAAACATGAAGTGAAATTATATGTGACATATAGGTTGTAGGATCATTCTATGAATAAGTATACAGGATCTTTATATTAATGAGGATGGCCAGTCCACAGCCTGTGGATTGCATTCCACTCCAATTCCTCATAGGTCCTGCCTCTCTTTCTAGTTAGCTATACTTGAATCTTTTATCACCAGTTGGGCTGCCTTTTTAAAAATGCTGGAATGCCAAGAATAGTTTTTCACAGGCCTGTGAGATGTTATGAGTAGTAATTGCTGTCAGAAGCCTTTTAGACTTTTGATACTGTTTTTGGTTTAAACACTATAGCCCCAGTACATGCAATTTGCAACTTTGAAAATTGGGTGGGCAGTCATATAAATTTGATTAATAAATAAATAAAATAACTTAACTTCTGACCTCTTTATCCCACAGCTTTTTAAACAGTTACAAATCCTAATATATGTGGTCCTTGTAATGACCACTCGTTCAGCAACTATTCAAACTTATGATGGCACTAAGCAAGTGGTAGTTATAATTGGACCGCATATTTATAGCAGTCATAGCATGTCTGTAGTCATGTGATCATGTTTTGCAATGTGTCCTGCTGATTTCCCAGAAGCAATGGGGAAGCCAGCAGGAAGTCAGAAGTCACAATCATATGAGATTCTCACTCAATGACCTGCATGATCCTTGTTTAATGATGGCAATTAGGGTTGTAGGACTTGCTGTTGATTAGCAGTGTAGTTACATTGGTTTTTTTTTTTAGTTATGATCATACTGCTTAACAATGGAGTTGCTGTCCCAATTCATGTTATTAAATTAGGACTATCTGTAGTACCATTAGTTCCTCCTTAGAAGCAGTAATAGTGTCTTGTAATTGTTCTCATATCGTCAGGGCAGCCAACAAGATTCTGAAAACTGCAATAACAGCAGTTTGCTGAATTTCATAGTAAGAAGTATATACACTTTTAGGGTAACTTTTACTGCACATCTAGAAAGATTTCTTATTATATCTGAGGAAAAGCAGAAGATGAAAGTTAAGATTTTCTTACCTTCTTCACAGATTTCTTCAGAGGAATGAATCCTGATACCATATTCACTTCTATTAGGGCCATATTACTTGTCTCTCGTTGACCTATGTAGCTACACAAAGAAAAAAGGGGAATTCTCAATCAAAATAGAAATGAAAGTTCTGGGAAAGGTTAAACCAGATGAGAAAAGATGACAGTGGATTTTCTCCAAGTTCAAAAAACACTCATAGACTCCTTTTTTTCCAATGATAATTCTCTGAGCCACAGTCTGACAAGAATAAGCATGATCAGCAGCTTCAGTTTATGAAGTTTGAAGCAATTTCTATTTTTCAAAGAGCTAGCCCCTCTGCTTTGCTTTGGCCATTCACTAAGATTACCCCAAATACAAAGTTCTCCCTGAGCATTACACAGTCTTTTGAACTAGCTGAAGGAAAATGAGCAACTAAGGCAGAGCAGTTATTGTGGTACCTAGCCATATGTCTTGCTGGCCTGACAAACATGAAAATGGGGACTTCTGAATGAGAATGAATATAGTATTCAGTGCCATAATTGAAAGTGCTGGCCACTTAATTGGTGGTTTATTTGAATTGATGAATTATACATAGTAAATAAAAGGAAAATTTCTTTTGGAAAAATAATAATTGACTGGAGGCAGAAATTTGTTCATTCATTCACCACTGAATCTATCAAGGATTCCAAGTGGTTTGCAATCATAAATAAACATTTTTGCAGGAAAAGCAAACAGTTCTCATTAGATATGGGATGGACGTGATAATGAGAGTGTTCTAAGCTAGGAATCCACCATACCTTAATTCTAGCAGGATGACAAAATGCTTCCAGGAGTTGCACACATTTGGCAATATTTCCACATTCAAAGTAAAACTATTTGTCTTCTGTGGTGGTTGGTTATATCGAAGGACAGTCTAATTGGAAAAAAATAGTTGTTATATTCAAATTTGTGTTGCAATATGGGACAATGCTGAATACAATAAATATATGAATAAGGTGGCGTTTACTACTCTTGCTGCTTTCAAAGCAAATTACATAAAACCTCAGTGTTAAAAGCCAATTGAGAGGAAGGGTGTCTGTTAAATCAAAATTTATAATAATATATATAAATTATTAATTTATGTAGTTTATGGAAAATGCATGCAGGTTTTACAGAATTCACACATATTTTATGGGGATTGTATACATATAGAATAGTGGAATTGGAAGGGACCTTGGAGATCTTCTAATCCAACCCCTTACTCAAGGAGGAGACTCTTTCCATTTTGGACAAATGACTATCCAATCTGTTTCTGAAAACTTCTAATGATGGAGCGCCCACAACTTCTGCAGGTAAATTCTCACTGACACCCAGAGGTGGAATGCAGCTGGCTCAGACCAGTTCAAGCAAACTGGTTGTTAATATTTTGCACAGTTCAGAGAACCAGCTAATCACAGCACTGGTTGGCCCCGCCCTTACCCCACCCTGCCCTATCTCACCTCACCTGCCTTGGCCAGTGGCTAGAGCAGTGGTCACCAACCAATGGCCATGGACCACTGGTGGTCTGTGAGAAAATTTTGGTGGCCGCAGAGAAATGTCCCCCCCAAAGCACCCCAAAAGCAATTCAGACTGCATGGGAACACAAGGCTGTGTCACCCACATGACTCGCCCACCCGCTGGCCCCCACCAAGTGCAAACTTGCAAAAAGCAGCACAGCCCTCGCCGGCCAGGACGGGATAATGGTGCTGTTGTAGAAAAGAGGGGGCTGACGCACAGGTGGACTGAAGCGGCAATGGAGATGGCTGGAAGGTACAGGAGTGCCTTACTACTTGCATTTGTGCAGCACTCCCACACCTTCCAGCTTGCCTCTCCTGGCCTGGGATCTTCCTTGATGGCCATGGGCTGTAGGGACGACCCAGGGCAGGAAAAGTACTGATTGGCAGTGTTGGGAGGAGACAAAGTGGGCAAGTCTGCACTCACCATCCAGTTCAGAGATCCGAAATGGGGTGTTGGCATCAGTTTTCTCATCTCTCTTGGCTCTTACTCTGTTCCCCCACCCATGGCCCCAGCCATTGCTGCCCAGGGAAAGCACAGGAAAAGTGAGCAGAAACATAGCTCTTGTTGGGGCGAAAGAGCTGGGATCAAGGAAGGCACAGGCAACAGAAGATGGGAGCTGCTGCCTTTGAAATAGTAGATAAAGGAAATATTTGAATATTAGAATCTCGGCGAGATGACCAACACTCAAAAATTATAATTATAATCCATTAATTAAATGAATAGCAGGAGATTTGGAAAAATGGGACAAATTAAGATTATCCATTATGGGTAGGATAGCAACCGTAAAAATGAACATACTGCCTAAATTATTATTTCTCTTTCAGAATGCTCCCATAAAATTGGAAAAAAAATTTTTTTGATGATCTGAATAAATTGATATGGCAAAAGAAAGAAAGTGAGAATTAAATTTGTTGCAAGATGCCACAGAAAGGGGTGGATTTGGCCCACCTGACTGGGAATTGTATTACAGAGCTGCAACTCTAACATGAGTTAAAGATTGGATAAATCACAAGAATAAAAGAATATTAACACTAAAGGGTTACAATTTAAAAGCAGGATGGCATGCCTTTTTATGGCAGGATAAGCAAGCAGGCCATAGATACTTTCAAAGACACAAAATTAGGCAGACTTTGTTAATTATATGGAACAAAACTAAAAGACAAATCAACGTAGAAACACCAATATGGCTATCTATATTGGAAGCTTTGATGTGTCCACACTTACTCCAACAAGGGAAAATTATTACCTATGAGGATATTTTAAATGACAGAGAACTAAGATCGAGGCAAGACTTGAAGGACCAAGGAATAGACATAGAATGGTGGGCTTACTTACAACTCCAATTGAGACATGGGAACGATACGAAAGAGTGGGGAATTATTAGCAAGTGCAAAACAAAATTAGATGAAGTATTATTGGGAACTGATGAGAAATTGATTTAAAAAAATTATAAAGTTTTATTGGAATGTAAATTAGAGGAAGAAAAAGTAAAAGAAACGATGGTGGCATGGATGAAGAATTTTGGATATAGTATAAATTTAGATAATTGGCCAATTTTATGGGAACGAAACAAAAAAATGACTTTGGCCACACCATTTAAAGAAAATGTATATAAATTATTTTATAGATGGCATATGCTGCCATCAAAATTGACAAAAATGTATCCAAACCTTTCCCCTGTATGTTGGAAGTGTAGTAAGGAAAATGGAACGTATTATCATCTATGGTGGAATTGCAAAGAAGCCCAAAAGTTTTGGCAGAAAATTCAGAAATGGTTAGAAGAGATGTATAAGATTAAAATAGAATACAGACCTGAATTTTTCTTGTTAGGAATTAATGTGGGAAAATAACAAAGATATTATATACCTAATAATTCATGGAATCACAGCTGCAACATTGGCCTATGCACAATGCTGGAAATGTAAAGAAACTCCAAGTGAAATAAAGATAATTAGGAAAATCTGGATGGGCACAGAAATGGACAAATTAACAAAAGAACTAAAAAAATAAGGATGAATCAGAGTATGGGATAAGTTTTATTGCTGGTTAGAAAAGAGGAAGGATCAAGAAAATGAGAAATTATTATATTATATACGATGTATATAGAATGTAAATATCGACTATTTTTTATATGACCTAGCAATGTAAGACAACTATGCGGGTTAGGATGATTGCACCATATTCTTTGTTTTTTTATTTTTTTTCTTTCTTTTTTATGTTTGTTCAATAATTTCTTTTTAAAAAAAGTGCCGCTTACTGTTGCCTGTGCCTTTCTTGATCTCAGCTCTTTTGCCCAGCAAGAGCTCTGTTTCTGCTCGCTTTCTTTTCCTGAGGGGGGGGGAAGGCAGCAGAGACCTCAGGGCTGCTCTCCCCCCTCAGCAAACCAGGCCTGGAGGAAGCAGCAAAGAATTGCAGATGAACACAGAGAAATGTGTGTTGGAAATGCCAATACACATTTCCAGCGCACCCTCTTCTATCCCAAAGTAGGACTGAGTGGGGGGAAGTGAGCAGGGAGAAGGGTAGGAGGGAAGGAGAAGCCCAGCTGGCTTTCCTTTGGCATGGGGCGGGCGGGGGAGATCAAATGCTCAGACCAAAAGAGTGCTGAGGAAGACGGGCTCCTAATAACCAGCCTGTTTGTGCAGGTGAGAGTTCGAGCTTTTCTGCGCTCGAGAACCCCCCTTCAGCCTCCACACAGGGAGAGACTCTCCTCTGGGGGCTGTTGCCTGGTTATTAGGAGCTTGTCTTCCTCAGTGCTTCCAGCTGGGCCCTCCTTCCCTCCCCCAACTCCAGGCAGCCACACCTGGCAAAGGAGGGAGAGATTTCCTCTGACTTGGGGAAGATATGAGATGACAGGAGACCAGATTTGGAGGAGGACTCTGCTTTTATTCTGTTTGAGGGGGAGCCGGTTCCTCCCCATCCAGATCTTCCCAGCCTCCATGCACCATGTGGCTTCTTTTGAATCCTAGCAGTATTAAATCCTCTCCCCACAAAGGATGAGAGAGGCCCCTCCTTTCCCTTCTCTCTGCCCCACAGTTATGATTAAGCATTTATGATTTTGTTATAATTAAATAAGCATTTTTATATTTAACAAATATTTATTTAAATATTTTATATTAAAAAATATTTTTAATATTAAATTTATATTTAAAATAAAAATTATTAAATATATTATCTTTTTTTAAAAAATTCATATTAGTGGTCCTCGGGATTTAAAAGTATGAGTTTGATGGTCCCTGAAGTCCAAATTTTGGCGAACCCCTGGGCTAGAGTCATACCTGCGCCCAGCTACTCTCTGGATCCTTCGCTCACTTGCCCAGACCCAGTGGCTCAGCTGATCTCCATGCCTGGCCCACTTGCCTGCCTTCGCTATGGCCTACCATGCTAGCCATGCAGCCCAGCTGATCTTTGTGCCTCACCTGCTTTGCTCACTGCAGCTGCCCATGAAGGTAAGGCACTTGGCTGAAAGGCTGGGTTGGACACGGTGAGGCTCAGCTGCCTTTTGGGCCTGGCTCTCACCATCCTTCCACCCGTATGCTGCCAGCTTGCCCTTCACCTCGGGTCAGGGGATGTGCTAGTCCCTGGCCCTGGCCTTCGCTGGTGCCTCTAGGCAGATACCACTCGCCCTTTGCTTCGGGTTAGGGGATGTGCTAGTCTGTGCCTTTCTAAAGGGACAACTCCCCCTCACCATCTCGCTTGCTTCTGCATGTTTCCATCCTGGTCTCACCCTTTCCCGAATTGCCTCACTTACCTCTGCCCCATTTCCCCTTCTTCAAAGGCCCCTTACTCACTCTCCCTACTTCTTCCCCCACGACCACCTCTTTCTTTGTCCCGCGACCTTACCTTCCTCCTACAGCTGGTGGCAAAGGCGAAGTCTAGCCTGCACTCTTTGACTGAGTGCGAGCCACCACTGTGAGAACCGTGTGAGCCCCATGGACTGGAAGGTAAGGCTGATGGTGGGGAAGGAAGATCCGCTCTGGGCTTGCTGCGCTCAGCTGAAGGGCTGCCTTAGTGTGTGGGGGGGACACAGCGAGGCTCAACTGCCTTTCGGGCCCAGTTTTGATTTCCACAAGGCCTCCAGGTCTGAGAGGCCTGAGAGAAAATGCCTATCCTAAGGGCCACCCACTCACCCATCCACCAACCGGGCTGGCCTGGAAGCAGCATGTCCCCTTGTCATGGGCTGGATGTGGGGGCCTGAGGTGGAGTGGAGGTTGAGCAGGTGGCAGCCCAGAGCAGGACCTGAAATGCAGCCAAGTCTCTCCATGCCCCCCCACCACCACCAAGGCGGCCCTTTGGCTGAGCACTGCAAGCCCGGAGTGGATCTTCCTTCCCTGCTATCAGCCTTACCTTCCAGCCCATGGGCTTGCACCATTCTCACAATGGCAACCTGTACTTGACCAAAGTGCTCAGGCCCAGCGGGTGGGCAAGGAAGGAGTGGCTGGTAGAGGGACGATGTGGGTGGCGTAGCCTCATGCTCCCTGGTCAACTCCAGCCCATGCCAGCTGGCAGGTGAGGCCCAGAAGCTGTGGAGAATCCAGGTGGGGGGTGAGATGCAGGCTGGCGGGGAGCCGAGCGGTGACAGCTCAACCCTGGCTCTACCACCAGCCATGGAAGGAAGGCAAGGGCATAGTTGCAGCCAGCTGGAAAAGTTGAATTGCTGTCCACCGGGTTGCCGGTGGGGGTGGGCGAGGCTGCAGTGGACTCCTGGCTTGAAGTTCCCAGCCCTTTGTTTGTAAATCTCCCCAAAAGAATGAGGGGAGGAAGTCCCACTCCAGCCCCTTTGTTGGACCTGGAAGTCTTGCCTGCCAGCCTTTCTGGGCAACGTGCAGCTGTCTGCAATCATCCCTTCATGCCCGGTCCCCAAGAGACTGGCCAGGAGCACCTGGAAGGCTTGGGCTAGGCTGGCAGATAAGTATTTAGCAACCAGACTCCTTATATCATCTTTGATGGTCTTCTCTGCACTCTTTCTAGGGTCTCAACATCTTTTGTATCATCATGACCAACAATGGATGTAATATTCGAAGTGTGGTTTCACTGGTGCAATATAAAACATTATCAGTTCTTGTAAGTTTAAAACTGCTATGTTGATGAAACTTAGGAGTGAATTAGCTTTGTTTGGCAGCTGTAGCACACTGTTGACTCATACTTAAGTGGTGGCCTACTACAACACTTAGATCCCACTATTGAGGAAGATACAATCTATTCTATATCTGACCATTTGTTTTTTCTTGCCTATGTGTAGGATCTTACTTTGTCCACTAGATCCATCTCACAGTTATTGCTACAGTTACAGAAAGGCACCTAGATTCATCTCACAGTTACTGCTATTGAGCCACCTATCACCTATTCTATATCTGTATATGCCTAAATGTAAGACCATATTTTTCTCATTGCTGAATTGCATTTTGTAGGATAGGACCCAATTTTCAAATCTGTCAAGATCCTTCTGGATTTTAATCCTTCTATCTTCTAAAGAATTGGCTATTTACCCCAGCTGGTTGCCATCTGCAAATTTGATGAGTTCCCCTTCTGTCTCCTCATCTAAATAAGTTATGAAGATGTTGAAGAGTACTGGGCCTAACTGCATACCTCCCTCCGTGTAGAAGTAGTTCCATTAAGGACTATACATTGGGTGAAGTGGGGCTGCCAGTTATGAATCCATCTGGTGGTGATGCTGTTTATTCCCCATTTTTTTAATGTTACCAAGAAGTAGACTTCATGGCACACAATCTACCCTTCAAGCTCCTGATGCCCAAACCGGGCAAGTTGGAAGAGAGATTTACCATCCTGCTAGTGAGTACAGACCAAGTGGGCTTTTTGCTCCCCCACCCCCCACCTCCTCATCCTGATCCAGTGCGATGCAGACAGCTCAATGGAGGCAGAAAAAGGGGGTTTCCATCAACCCTTCTCTCTTTTTCTGCCTAGCCTCCTTTTGCCAGCATGCACCAGGCAGATTTGGCAGGCAGTCGTGATTTTAGATGGGCTTTTATTTTGTCAGCCCAAGAGGGAGGGAAGGGGCTCAGAATGGTACATAGGAAATTGCTCTGTCTCTGGGGCATCCATTGTTTGCCAAAGGGCAGGCAATGATGATGAGGCAATGGTGGTGGCTGGGGCCGGCCAGTGTCTTGGAACAGAGAGCAGGTCACTCCTCTGTTGAAAAAAATATTTTAAAAAACCCTGACTGTCGGGCAGCAAGACCCAGCAAGACATGAGGTGCAGGAGAATCAGCACTGGATGCTTGTCTCCACCACAGTGCTTCCCCGATGCAGCTTACAGCTCCAAGTCACAAGCAGCGGGAGGCGAGGGCTGCCTTGAGTGCCAATGTACCATGATGAAGGCAGAATGCTGTTGTTGCACAAGGCAGCAGGGAGCTGGGCCATGTGGGAGGCAGCAGAGATTGGCGAAGGAAGACTCAAAGGCAGGGAGGGATCTGTGCTACGTGGGAGACAGCAGAGATCAGTAAAGGCAGGCTCACCAGGCAGGTAGGAAGATGGGCCACCTGGGAGGCAGCAGAGATCGGTGAAGGGAGGCTCACCAGGCAGGCAGGGAGCTGGGCCTCATGGGAGGCTGTGGCGAAGGCAGGTAAGCAGGCTGGGACATGGGAGCCACGTGGTTGAGGCAAGTGAGTGAGGGAGCCAGAAAGCAGCAGCAGCTATGCTGCGTGCATGACTCTAGGCAGCGGGCAAGGTGAGATAAGGAGTGACTGGGACTCCTGGCAGGGACAGGGCAGGGTGGGGCCAGCCAGTGGTGGAATTAGCCGGTTCTCTGAACTGCACAAAAAGTTAACAATTGGTTTGCCTGAACTGGTGCAAACTGTCAGAATCCCATCTCTGGATACAATCCATCTGATCCTGGTGATTTGAACTTGTATAGAGTAGATAGGTGTTTGTCTTACCATTTTCTTGCCTATTTTTCCTTGTATTCCTATTCTGTCTTGTAAGGTACCAAGATTTCACACTGACATTCTCTAAAGGTGAAATACGTCATGGGATGAGAATGGTATGTAATCTAAAATCATTTATATGGTAGCTAATTAATTATAATATCTTTTTGTCACTGTCCCTGCTAACAAATTGACTTGTATCTGTATCTCCCAATGTTAAGATATAGCATAATATGCACAGTCAACGCATTACAACAGATATTAGATTAGAAGTTTGTGGTTGTAGAGTAAGATCAAACATATGGTTTTCATTTACTCAAGTTTAAAATATTGTGATGTCTGTGTATTAAGATGCTGCTCCTAGGGGATCAAAGGCCGAATCACACAAGCTTTTATTATTTGCTCCTCTAGGCTTACCTGCACATAAACACAGCCATGACCTGAGAGCTCCGCCTTGTACTGACCAGGGATCTCTGGAAGGGAGGCCTGCTGGAGCACCAGCCGATTTTGCTTGTTCACATGGAATTCATGCTGGAAGCCTTTGCTGGATTTTACCAGCACCTTTAGATTTTCTATCTCAACAAATGTCAAAGCTGCATACCTGGCTAAACCTTGCAGGGAAACCACAGTATCCTGGAAGAAAATAATAACCTGGTATAGTTTTTAAGTGCATATCATTTGAAGTTATTAGGTTTCATGCCTCTGTTTAGTTTTTGGATTTTAGCAGATTGGAATTTTGTTCTTGTAGTTGTAAATCCATGATCAGACTCAATTTTTCAATGGTTGTTAAGCAAGTCACCATGGTCATTAAGTGAACCATGTGGTTGCTAAGTGAACAACATTGTCCTAAGCACAAATCAATTTTATGGAATGGCAGTTTATTAGGAATTTGTGGAACACCTGATGGACAAAGTCACTCAGATCCTTTCCCAGTTGGAATCCAAGTATAGAACAGGTGCTTTAGAGATGCCTGGGGAATAGCCTTACCCATTTATCTGAAAACAGTTTGATCCTGATAGACAGGGTCCTCAAAGCTGTCAATTAAATCCTTTTCACTCCTGGCTTGTGAAAGTCTTGAGCAGGGGTGTCAAACTCAATTTCATTGAGGGCCACATCCTTGGATGGCTGGTGGGGGCATCGCCATGGTGGGTGTGGCCATGATGGGTGAGACACAGGACCATACCTCCGCAGACATGGTTTTATAAACTTATAAAAATAGGGAGGTATACATTCCTGTGATTTCGGTTTTTTTTAATACTTACTTGATCTACTTGATATTCAGGTAGCCTTTGAGTTATGATTACTCATTCAGTGACCATTCAAAGTTATGATGGTTCTGAACAAAGGAAACTTACCAATGGTCCTTGGAGTTGGTGGTCATGTGATTGCAATTTGGGTGCCTGGCTACTGGCTCAGAATTATGATGGTTGCAGCATTCTATGGACATATAATTGCCATTTGCAACCTCTTGCCAGTTTCACACAAGCAAAGAAAGCAGGTTGCAACTTGTTCCTGCTTTTGCTGCTTTTTTGCCCATTTGCAGCACCTATTTGTTTGCACTCTCTAGTGCCCACCTGGCAGCACCAGCTGCCCATAACTCTCACTAACTGACCTGTTTGCCTGAGACTCTTGCCTTTTCCCACGTCATGGTCACATGAGGTCCTCACTTAAATGACCCATAGTCCTAGGGTTACAAAATGGGTAATAAAAGTTTAACAGATTTTGCAGAGATTGAGGTTGTCCTTGGAATAATGGCAGAATACTTTACAATACCCTGGTATGGCTAAGAATGACTTATGGCTGTCTATGGTAGCTAGGGATGAGGTGAGGGCAAGTTATACAGATATAGCAGGGAAAGGTTAAATATACATGGGGAAAGTTGTTAGTATATCAATGATTCACTGGCAGAATTTTCATATTTGATTGATCAGCAATCCTAACACCAATATATGCTCTATTCCAATATTTCCAATCCCATAGTTTGACCTGTTACCTGTGTGGAGTAAAAGCCTCCATATGGATTTTGTAGTTTAACAAGGATTTGCACTATCTTGGAAGCATACTTAATATCATCTATGGATACCTCCAGGTTCGACAAGTAAGCCAAAAGAAAATAGGCAATGATCTCAGTCTGTGAGGATGATGTCTCTAAAAAAGAAAAAGAAAAGAAAGAAATCTTGGAAGCTAAACTTCCATATGCATGGTGTGGAAAGGGAACTTCATGAGGACAGTGGTGACACCCAAGCAGGAA